GGGAGATCGTTCCTAACGTCCTTGTATGTATATGAAGTTATCTATTTGGTGGGTTCTAAAGTACAGGGCTATATTTTTCAATCCTTCCAAGCGAAACGGCCAAACCAAACATGTTTTGTTATAGCTTAACAGCCGTACAAGTTGTCATTCAAAACCTGACAGAGTTTCGTGCTTTGAGCGGAGATTATGACACAAATAATCCTTTAACTAAGAAAAGAAAGAAAAAATTTTGAAGAAACTGTAACGGTTATAGATACTGTAAGGCATGCGCATTAGCCTTTGGCACATTCCAGCTAAAAAATTATTACTGTAAGTGAAAGTGCTGCCGAAGACCCGAATACATCTATCTTACGATGTTCTTAAGAGCTGGGACTTTTTTCACAGCGCATTATGGCTTGTCATCTATATATCTATAAAAAGTACAGTTCGCATAACCACTGAAACCAACTAACCCAATCACAATGCCGTACATACCTGGATTGGGTGCTTTAACAACAAAAAGTGGAAGGCGACTTTGTGAAAAGAAATTTCTTCTTCCACGAAGCACAATACTCACTCAGTGAATACGTTAAAAAGCAAAATTTTCGCATTTTTGAGATCCGAGAATAGCCAAATAAAGCAAGAGAGGCCATTATACAAAAAAAAAACCTCTCTGTCTATGGTGATCTTCGGTTCGGTGGTGTGATTGGGCCTTGCTTCTTTGAAAACGAAAACTACGAGACTCTCAATGTCAATTTGGAGCGTTATGTTCGACAATATCTGGCGAACACAAACGATTATGGCTTTATTGCGAGACCTCAAAATGGAGACCTCGAGCATGTGTATGTGTATGCGTACACATTTTAATATGTACGAGGCGTGACAATTAAGTAATGAGACGGATTCCATTAAAACCGCATATTTTAAAATTATTCTACAACTCAGTCTTCCCTTCAAAGGAGTCCCCATGGGTAGCTATTCCAGTGCATTTTCCAAGCTGCGTAACATTTCTAAAATGCTTCGACTATGATGTCTGCGAGTACCCTCGTCACTAGATGTCCTCTATCAAATCAAAACGGGTTCCTTTGACCAACGATTTTGTTCTTGGGAACAAAAAAGTCATAGGGTCACATATCGGGTGAAAAAGGCGGTTGTTGCAACACGAAAATCCCTTTAGAGGCTAAATACTCGCACACGCTGAAGGCGGTGTGGCACGGCGCGTTGTCGTGATGCAGGATCCAGTTACGAGCGATGTCTGGGCGCACCCTGTTGAATCGTTTTCGCAATCTTTCGAGTACCTGACGATAGTAGATTTGATTTACGGTTTGCCCCGGTGGAAAAAATTCTTTTCGCGCCTCGACTGATCTCCCGCTCCGCGCCACGTCTTTCATGCTTTCACGCCCCTCCTTAAGCTCTTTATGCCATCGAAACACCTGGGCACGACTAAGAGCACTATCAACTCATATTTACACTTTTAGCGTATGTTTTCGAAGCAAAACTTTATCGTGACGCGTTGCTCTTGATTTCGGTCTTCCATTTTCGTGACGAGCACCCCGAACACATGTTTACTCACTACGACACAGCAGGCGCACTAAACAAGCTAGAGTGATGGCAAATATATCAATGGAGAGGAAAAAGATGCCGGGAGAAGAGAAACGGAATTTCAATGTCGCAGAGTTACCACAATCGCGGCAATATCATCACTCTCATTACTTAATTTTCACACCACGTATCTATGGGTTCTTGCAGATCTTATTTTTGAATGTATAAAGTAAAAAAAAAGTGGCTACTGGAGAAATTTTTAACTGCATATTCTTAAATTGTTTTAAGTTTTCATTGCCGGAATTTTCTTATTATTATTATTATTTCTTTTTTTTTAATAAACAAAACACAATTTCATATTTTGAACTTCTTCGCTCATCCATCGCTTGAATGAAGATCGTCTGCCGTTTAATTTGTAAGGTACTTATGGTATATGCGAATGTTCTATATACATAAATATATGTATGTATTTGTGTATATACTTGTAAAATCATCAGAACCGGATGGCCACATCTTTTGTACAATTTAACAAGCATTTCTTCGTGTCTGTCCAGTTGTGTTTATACACTCTGCTGCGCCGTCTTTTGTATGGCAATCAGGAAGCACTTGAATCCACTTCATATTACTTTCATAACTCAAACAATGATTATTTGCGATTTTTCTATTTTTCATCTGTTTCGTTTGCTGTTTGTTGTTCGTTTTTTTTTTTTGTTTGCGATTGGGTATATGATTTTCATCCGCTTATCGGCATTAACGTATTTCCTTCTTAAAATCATCTATTGTTATTTTCAGTCAGTGCCATGGTGGGCAGTCGCCCAGCGATTGTCGTTCAATTTTGATTAATCAAATCCAAAAATCTTTTTAATAAACAATATAATTGTATATCAGAGTGGACAATAGCGTTGTCTTTCAGAGTTGGATGAGGCATAAAGAAAGTAAATGAAAAGTAAACATAAACATAAAAGCTTAAAAAAAATAAAACCATCGAAATAAAAAAAAAATATATATAATAATTTTTTATATAAACACATACAATTATTCATACAGTAGTCCTTTAATTGTTTGCAAAATGAAAACATCACAAAAATATCTTTTCAAATTTTTTTTTTATAAATGAAAGTGTTTTATTTCCCTTTTTTATTAGACAAGAATAATGTTAAGCTATCCTGATGGACCCAGTAAAGTTTGGAGAAAACCCAACACAGCTATGCAATAGAAAAATATAATTTCAACAGTGGAATTTGGTAAGCTTTCGGTAATGGGTTGGGGCTGAATTTCGTCGAAAGGGTTTGGAGAGCCCCGAATTTTCAACGACGTTATGACGAAGGAGTTTTACTTGTGCATTCTAAAGGACGAATTGTCAAGGAGTGGAATAAGATTTGGATTAGCTGACAATGAAAGCCCTAATAAATTAAGGAACACACTCTACCAGGCCAACGATCCTAGACATAAATCATTCCTGCGCAGGACGTGGCTACTATATAATTGCAGTAAGGTGATTGACACTACCGCCCAGAGTACTGACTTCAGCCCCAGGCTTTTTTTAAGGAGGCGTGTGGGCAAACGGGGCCCAAGTAATAAAAACGCTCTTACTAAGGCCATTAAGGAAGAACGTAACAAAATACCTGAAAATTATGATTTAAATAACCTTATTCGGTCTATGCTCCGTCGTTTTTGAGCTGCTATGGATCAGGTGACCATCATACCAAATATTAGTACCAACACTGCTTTATTTTCCCAGTTTCAATTATATTTGCAATATTTGTTTACAAAATGCAAGGGCTTGAATGCCCCAGAAAATTAGAAAAATTTATTTTCAATAATTTTGTATATTTCTCGAACCAGCACTCTAATCCTGACCTTCAAATCGGCAGTACGAAATGCTCCTCTATTATATAATTTAATATTTGTCAAAACATTTCAAATCGTTAGTCTCGGTTCGTTGCCCGACTCCACCGAACTACTAGGTAATCTTTACTAGCAAATATGTATGTAGCGCTCTGCTTGTAATATCTAAAATCTTGTTATGAAATTGTTAATAATAATATGTTTTAGCAAGAAACTTAAAAGCCTCATCGGTTCAAAAAATTCTTCAAAAGAAGTAAGGTTATGTTCGAAATTGTGGTAGTTTGAATTTTTAAGAATGTTACGATACATGCACAATTTTAAAAGTGATTTTTTCAAATTCCCCATTCATTTTCTATAGATTTATAAGAATTGTAAATTTTCAAGAACGAGACATCGTTTTAAAAAAAAATGATTTTTTAATACAAAAATTTGTCTCTTTTCATAACTTCACTTGGAAATTGGAACAATATGGTTTTCAAACAAATACTGTAGTGTTCAAAAAAAAAAATTAAGTTAAAATAAAAATAAGATAAAATAAAATAAATTGAAATAAAATATAATAAAATAAAACAACAAAAAATTGTAAAAAAAATTAAAAAATTAATTTAAAAAATTAAAGTAAAATGAAATTACCCAATATAACAAAATATAGAATAAACATTTTTGATTTAATAGTGTATATTCATGTTGGTTATTTTAAAGCGAATTCTGATATTTTGGGAGCATAATAACGTTTATTCAGACGCAAAGCCACAAATTGGAGGAGGAGCTTGGCCGAAAACCGCTTCAGCGGTTACAAAGTGCCAATTATTTATATAGTATGTATATATGTATATATATGTTTATTCTCCTAATTTTCATCGACAATTGGATCCATGTGCATTTATTTTGAAGAAGATATATATATTCATTGAATTTATTTGCTTGAGGTCTATCAATTTTATTAAATAAGTATGTAAATAGCTCCACCGCTTGCATATTGTAGAAAATTCTTGAGCTCAGTTGAAAGTACAAACACATGAATAAGAAAAATATAATAATTTGTATGTATGTATGTATTAAAAATTTTTCACATCGTTCTATGTACATATATATTTCCCTCACTTCACTTTTTTCCATCTAACTGCGAATAAAAGCGAATACCTCGAATATTAAAACCTTTACAAAGGGTAATTTAAAAAGCGATAAAAAGTATTAAGCAGATTGCATTACGTTGCCACGTAGTAAAAGGTTAATTTTGCTGAATATTGTTTAAATTGTAGTCTGTGTGAATGTGTTAAGCAAAAGGCGATGAAGGAATCTGATTAACTTACTTCATTGCTTTGCTTAACTGCACTTTGGTATTTGACGTCAATAAAAATGAGTGGAAAGCTTTATTCTCACGCACACAAATGTAGAAACAAAAACTCTATTTTACCATTAAAAAAAATTAATTTATTAAAAAAATGGTAGTATGTGAATTTTTGGATTTTTTGCAAGAACATCAATTAACACCTTTAACTCTCAGTTGCGGAATTCCTGTGTACAATTTGTATATTTCACGAATTACTAAATTTTTTCATTTCTATGGAATGAAAATTATTTTCACATACCAAATAAAATAAATCACATTTTTATTTATATGAACATACCGGCACTGCTGGATATTTTATTCAAGCCATAAAAAACGGCTAAACAGTTTGTAGCAGCAGCAAGAACACTTCACAGTTAAGCACTTAACCTTGGCAATCGTATGAAAGCTTTGCAGAAATAACCTTCTTTATTTTGTATGTGAGATAAACTTGACTTTTGAATTTTGAATTCTTAACAGTAGGTATGTTCCATGTTTGATTTAGAGTAATGCTCGTTAATTAATATATGATTTACTTAGTTTTACGGTTGAGATTTCTGCACTTCTTTTCGCACTGAATTTTTTTACGTACGTAAATTCTTTTTTATTTGCATCTCTTATAAATTCATATAAATGTGCTTTTAAAATTAAAAAAAACATTTAATTTCATATTATTTTATTTATTTTATATATTTTATTGAACATATTTTACATATTTCTTTTTATTATTTTTAATAGTATATAAATATTTTAATTTAATTACTTTAATCTTAAGTTATTTTCTTTTATTTTTTTTTTTGTTTTACTTTATTTCGATTCATTTATTTTATTTTCTTTTGCTTTATTTTTATGTGCCCCAGCTTGATGTATTTATTTACTTTTCTTATATTTTATGTTCTTATTTTCAGATTTATATAAATATTTATTTATATATTTTTATATCATATAATATTTTATTTTAAATGACTTTATTTTATTACGTTATATTATATTTTTTATTTAAGTTTGGTTTTTTAATTTATTTTTTTAATTTAATTTATTTTTTTTTTAAGATATTGAATTTAATTTCATTTAATTTCTTTTTTATTTATTTTTTAATGTTGTTTTACTGTGTTTTATTTTATTTAATTTGAATAGATTATTATAATTATGTTTTACATCGTTTAATTAATTTTAATTTGATTTTATTTAACTTCATTTTGTTTTGTTTTGCTTAATTTTGTTTTGTTTTATTTTATTTTAATTCATTTCATTTTATATTATTTAATTTTGGTTTTTTTTGGTTTCTTTTATTTTAATTTATTTTAGTTTGTTTTTATTTTATTTTATTTTATTTTTTTTTTATTTTATTTTATTTTATTTTATTTTATTTTTTTTTTATTTTATTTTATATTTTTTTTTTATTTTTTTTATTTATTTTAATTTAATTTTTTTTATTATATTTTATTTTATTTTTTTATTTTATTTACTTTCTTTTACTTAATTTTATCATTTTATTTAATTTTTTGTTTTTGTTTAATAGTTGTATGTGCTTTTCTTTTTTGTGTTCAATTGTATTTTTAATTTTACTTTGTTTGTTATTTTGTTTTAATTTTTAATTTTTCAAGTTTTGTATAGATCATTAATTTTAATTTTAATTCAAGTGTTATTAAAATTCATTTCTCGCTTTAATACTGTTTAAAAGGTTTTCATAATTTGTTTTTTATCTCTTCACATGCTGAATATGCACTCGACGCGAAAAGTAAATACTTGACGACAAACAAACACCATTATTTGCTGATAAATAACAATTTACACTTTTAGAATTGGTTAGTTTTTTTTGCAATATTTTATAAACAATCGAAAGCGAAGAAATTTTTTTTTTAAATATAATTTTTTATTAATTATAAAAACATATGCACACGCGCTTTAGGCCAATTGCTCATTATCTATACCAATATTTATTATTTCACAATTTTTGTTTAAACTCACTGCAATTTATTTTGTACTTTATTACTTTTTAATTGTTTTTGTATTTCTTTCGATTCTTGGGGTGTGAAAGAAATTTAATTTTTTTCCCAAAATTTTTTTGTTTGTTTACTTTCTATTTTCTTTTTTTTTATATGTATGTATGTGTTTTTTGTCTCAATTCACACAGACGGTATTTTGACTTTTCCACTAGCTCATGGTTGTATTTCCAACACAACCGCATTGCTAAAAGTTTCCCGACAAACTGAATCGCCATCGTCGATGTGTTGGCAACTTTTCCGTGCAGCGGCAAGTGTAAAAATATTGCAAAATGTTGGTGTAAGTGTAGTACGATATGTGCTTAGTATAAAGAAATGTAGTAGAAATGGTAGTAAAAAGAGTAGTAGAAAAGGTGGTAGAAAAAGTAGTAGAAAAGAAGTAGAAAAAATTATGTGTATGAAAACGAAAGTGAACTGCTTGAGTTCTGAGTGATTTCGTCTGCGCTCTAGTTGAAAGCATAAATACCTTTGGCTACTTAATAATTGAAGTCGCTTTGATTGAAGAGCTGTTGAGGGATTTAAATGTTTACTTAATTAAATAGCTTCCTTTTTGATACGAGTAAACCAGCATTTTAAATATTCTTGACTAAAAATTGTGATAAGTTGCAGCTGTAAAACAGATTCTCTGAGAAAATTCTCAAATATTTATTTAGAGTATTTTTTTTGCACACCAATTCTAATTAGTAGTAGGTTTTTGGTAGTTTATTGGGCATCTGAAGTTCCAAATATTCACCAAAATTAGGAATCTCTAATGAACATACTTATTCAAGTGGGTGTTCATGACCTTATCTATGGAAAAATAAAAATTTAATTTTTTTAGTATTTTTCGCCTGATGGAAATCGGTTGATAACTCTTAGACGATGAGGGACAAAACATCTATTGGTTGCAGAGTAGAGCAGAGACCACGACTGAAGTTTTTTCGGATTAAAATATATTTGAACTCTTTCGTTCGCCGCTTGTCAACTGTTTAAGTGATTTTAAGTATTTTCTTCATAATTTTCACTCTACTTTTCTTTTTACTCAACTCGCATTTCCACTCACATTTGACTGCTCAAGTTAGCTCATGCGCAAAGTGCATACAAAATGCAAATGCTTTTCACTCATTCATCTCTCGTTCGGCTGTAAAAATAACAACAAAAATCTCTTTTGTGTTTTATTTATTCACTTTATAGTTGGATTTTCGTAAACAAACAATATGCAACACGTGCTTTTCGGCAAATTCTTTACTTTGGTCCACAATGGCTCATTTATGTGTGCTTATCATATTGAAACTAAGTGTGTGTGTGTATGTGTGCACAAATGTTATGTATGTACATATGCATGTGACTGAATGGTAAAATTGCAGGGTAATGAATTGTATACAATTGTACTTGGATTACCATAACAAATGTTTGATTTATAGGGATGTGCTTATATCATAATGGGTGGTCCTAATGTAAACACCTAAAGTTATATTGTTTTAGTTTATTTATTAATTATTTAGAATATATTAAATAATCAAATTTAGTTAATACTTATATTTGAGGCAACAAAGCCTGTTTAAATCTGTCTTCAACACCATATAGATTCTGAAATTTATCTTCTTCTTCTTGATCGACTAAGGCGCCGCTTTCATGATAATAGCCAAAATATCATCATCGCGTGATTCATTTATCTTCCTAGCAATTCAGCGCATATCAGAGGTACCAAGCGAAGCCACGTCTTTCTCCAGCCGATCTATTCAGAGAGCTCTTTCTCTTCCACTCGGATGCTTTCAGAGCTGGAGTATTGCTATCCATATGGACTGCATGATCCAGCCAGTGTGACCGCTGTCTCTTGATACGCTCAACTTTGCCAATGTCATCGGAAATCCCCTACGACACCTCGCTCCATCTTTTAAAATATTTATTTGCTTCCACTCTACGACGGGTCTATAAATCGTTCGAAAATCCTTGCACTCGAGAACTCCTAGTTTATCCTCTGCGGCTGTACTCGTAGTTATAGTTCAGGCTTCTGCACTATAAAGCAGGATAGAAATAATGAGGAATTTGCAGAGTTTGGTTTGTGTTCGGCAAGAGAGCTGTTTATATTATACTCATGCCGAAGTAACCCCAGATTCGGGTTGCTATATACAAAAAGTTATCCACGACCTCAAAGTTCTGACTGTTAAAAGTAATTTGAGAGCTGAGGCGTGAACGCCATTACTGTTTGTTTGATGAAAGGAGATCATCCGTTCGCCTTGCTTCCTTACAAAGCCTGTAGAAAGCATATTGTAATTACCTGTGGTATTGTTCAGTCTGAGGATGACAATATCTGACGGCGTTTTGGTATTGCGTAGTCTCACTTTTCACCGCCGTTTAAAACCAATCAATCAGTCAGTGTGCGTTGATACAGCTCTTATCCAGAGTCCCACAATAATTGGCGTAGACTGTGTCGTCCCCATTTTTCTGGATTGCACAGCGCACACTCAGTTTTCAATTGCCGAGACTAGTTTCATCTGGTGCATATTCTATAAAGTAGCTTACGAATGCACATCATCAATTCTTCGCTGTCATAATTGTATAACTCAGCGGGTTGGCAATCTGCTCCTGGTGCTTTCTTGTTCTTCAGGTGAGCCAACTAATATTCGAAATTCAATTTATTGGGTTAATGGAACCTCTGTCCCATCGTCATCGATTTAACAATCGGTTTCGGTATCCATCTAGTGGTGATGGAAATTCATTACAGTTAACTAGTCTTAAGAAGTGTTCCCACTATGAAATCAGTATATTCTATGTATCAGTAATAGCTCGCCTCGTTTGGCCCTACATGAGTATACTTCGCTCTTGAGACGCTTAGGAGTCACCGATTTTTCATCCGATTTTCGCGTATTACTTTTGCTTTTAAGTACGCTGTAGTCGCTCATAAAAGGCATCGTTGGCCACATTGTACTGCTCTTCCGCAGGGGATATAGTCTCAGGGATATGTTAAAAAACTAAGGATTGTGGCTAGGGACTTATCCGCGGAAGAGAATACCAGGACTCTGTGATTGAATCTCTATCCTGCCATAAATACCGATACCGAATTTCCGCTGTTATAGTACATGTCATAAGGAAATATTTATTAACACATTATTTGACTGTAACGCCTCATAGGGTTATCTTTTAGAGAGCTCATTTTCACTTGAGTTCTTACGGAGGGGAATCTTATCTTTTTCTCCAGCTCGACCTGACTCAGCAGCAATTTTTTAAAGCGGTAGATCAAAATCCTTCCAAAGGAATATGTGGGATTGAAAAAAATTAGTGCAATAAGGAGGTATGAAATCTGATCTGATCATTTTCACTTGAGTTCTTACGGTGGGGAATCTTATCTTTTTCTCCTGCTCGAGCTGACTCTGCAGCAAGCGGTAGACCAAAATCCTTCCAAAGGAATTTGTGTGATTGAAAAACTAAGTGCAATAAGGAGGTATGAAATCTGAGGTACCAAAGTGATTAAGGACTAGTTTCAGGACATAATTATTGAAAAACTTTTGGAATTTTTATTAATTTTTTCTCAATTATTATATAATTTTATATGCAAACTAATATATGTGTCTTTACAACAATTCAATGCAAATTAGTTTTGGTGTCACCCACTAAAAGTGATTTACATGTATAAGTACACTTTA